TAGAGGGTATGTATATTTATATATAAATATAAAGACATCAAGTATATATATGTGTATATAAATATATATACGCATATGCGTGCACACGCGCGTGCGCGAGCGCGCGCGCGAGTTCGTGCACGCGTGCACACATATTACGCGATAAATGAGAGTGGCATTCCCGACGCCATTGTCTGCGATGAACGATCTTCGAAAGGAATAAAGCACTTTCACGTAGTAATGTGTTTGTATTCGAATACCCCATAAAACTGTTAGAATTATTATTTTCTTAAGTCCTTCATAGTCTCAACAGTGATTTCTATATTCTTAATTGTGATAAAAATTACAAAGTAATACTTGAAAAAATGTAGATTCCTATTATTAAAATTTGGACGGTTAATTTTAAACCTTTAAAATTTTTTAAGTAATTAATTAATTTTTTATTTTAATTTCTGTTTTTAAGTTGAGCTCATTTTCTGTTAAAAGAAAATAAGTTTACTAATCTGCATTTGTTGTTGCGCTCGAGGACATTTAACAAGTAAGTCCAGCAATTAACGCCTTAGTCCAGCCTATATCTAGTATTGAAGATAATATAATAATATGAAAATAAACATTTTTCTGACTGCATTGTCTACAATTGGATGTGTCACAAACACCAAACTTCTATCTGTGTGGTATTAGTGACGCTATATCCTGTGAATAGTTGTACTATTAGCCTGATGTTACCTTTCCTTACAACCTTATGCTGCTTTACTAAGTCCTCATCAGGAGAGAATCCCTTAGTAAAACCCTATCTGCAATTACTCTTGGTTTCTTATCTCCGCAAGTTAAGATATTCACACAGTCAATCTTTAATCTTTGCCCTACTTAAATACGGAACACCCCAAGCATTGGCTTCGGTCTTGTTATCTTTATTACCAAACCAGCTCTTGCTAGCTGGTTATATTACTATCTAGTTGTTCTTGATTCGTGAGTGTTGACCTAGACTAGAGTAAATTGTTATTTTCCGCTACATAATTTATAGATGACCCTATTCTGAAGTAACGATACCTTGTGTACTTCTACTGTTCCTTGCGACTGGAGAAGGCATATTTCATATACTTTCTTAAAATCAGGTTATTGGTATTCCCATGTTTTATTTCAAATACGAATTCGAACAAGACTTTGGGAGCTGCGCCTGTATAGCACCTTTACATCCTAAACAGTGACCGCAACAATGACCGTTGCTACTACTACTACCTGATGAAATGGTTTAATACCGAATAACACCTTTACTACTGTAAACCTGTGGTTATCATAACACTTAGAACTCCTTTTAGGACCTTAACCCGTTCAAAGTACTGTAATCCTCACAGTCTTGAGCCACCAAACTACCGCAATAATCTTGAATGGGATAGTGTCGTGTATAACCAATGTTCTTCTCTAGTCTAACAATAAGTACTAGGTTCGAAGATAACGTCCAAAGCATATCCAAAAATAGTCACAGACACTCCTGCACTAGTCCAAATGTTCCTTTCAAATCAGTTCAACAGAAATTTAAGTAACCTCAAGATATTTTTATGATATCAATCTCACTTCTCCAAAAACAAAAAGTCATTTAAAGTATAAAAGCAGGAGCCCTTTTAAAAGAAGTAATGGTTGACGGATATTTTACTTTAAGACTGATATTTTCAAAACTATAATATTATTTATAATAATAGACAATATAACGTTATAAAGATATAGCTAATAAAAATGTCTTGTCCTATTTATTTCATATTTCAAATTCTGTCAAAGATAATTTATTATTACATCAAAAGTTTTTAGAAGAAAAACACTGGAAAGCAAGACAATATTACACAAATGTATAACATAATTGAGAAAATATTTTGATAATACAATTAAAAGTTGTCATGACTGTACTACAACTAGGTACGTCCTTTCCTTTCCCTTTTCCTTAGAGAAGCAATTTAAAACTGATTTCTCGTAGCGATATCAGAAAGTTAGGTGAAATCGTGTTAAGTGGTTTTAATTACTTAGAAAACTTGGGCAGCGCCAGGAAGTTTCCACGTCGCTCAACAGCGAAGTGGATGCAACTAGGAACACCTTCAGAATTCTCTTGCACTTATACCACTGTGAATCTCCTTCTCCTACCCTCATGTACTAACCGCCTACATTGCCGCAATACTCTTATTTTTAGATTAACCAATTACAAGTCTGTCTAATCAACAGGAATATTCTCGAAAAATTAAAAAAATGTATCAATACTGTACGCTGAGTCTTTAAATTTTCAATGGCAACAGCTATTCTCCCATGACGTAATATTTTTCATGGTCGTGATGAGAATAGTAATGACAATTATTTATACACAAGTATTAAGATAGCGAAGTTTCTGCTAAATTAATGAATTTATTGCCATCGGAGTGAAATTTGTTTAATGTTTGTTGCAATGTTGCAATTTGCATATGTTGCAATGTTGCTGCAATATTCTGTGCTGTATGGGTACAAACTTGATACTTTATTATTTTTTATATTAAAATGTTATATCCAAACAATCGAACATAAAATTTTATTGGAAGAAATAAAGGAAGTAATAATATGACGAGACAAAATTTTAATTCCTATTTAATAAAAATATAATGCAAACAAATTTAATACAAATAAATATTTTATTAAAAGATGGACTTTTCTAATTTAATTGTTGGATACATTTGATAATATCATTACTTTTGTAGAAAAGATATAATACTTTTGTAGAGTACTAGATAACACAAGCACGCGCTTGGTGCGCGCCATTTGCTCTACCTAAAAATTCGCATGGTTTGACAGCTGCCAATAACACGGCTGAAGCATATCGTATCGCACAAGCGAGACAGCCAATCAGCATCTCGGAAAAGCGATAATACTTTGAGACTTTCGGCTATCGACTTAACACGCCTTTTTTTATATAGGAGGATTTCGTATTAAACTGCTAATTAAATAGATACTATATTTTTCACTACATAGAATATCGTGCAAAATTGCAGTTTAATCTGACACGAATACAGGAGTGTCAGTTCGGAGAAAGCAAAACGGAATTGAATTTAATGCGTTGGTTTAAATCTTTTATGAGAAGCTCCTACACGCCGCTTGGATTCGACTGTGTCTCTCGCTTCCGTCAGTATCTATGCTCGGTATCCATTACATCACTACTTCGTAAAACTACATAATTTAAGAGAATATTTGAATAGTGTTTTACACTGCTTGCAGCTTGTACTCGTAGGAAACTTTGTTCCAGGACTTCTGTGGCTGGTAGGTAGGTACTAATGCTCTTATCGTTAATGATTTCGTGCTATTGTGCCGGATTGTATCCATGAAAATTCAACATCTGATGGTATTGTTGTTCTCACTAGAAATTAAGAGAGCAGTCTCACCTCAGTCTAATGAAATAGTGATGTCAATAAAATGAATTTGATATCATTGCAATCCAATTGTGGAACTAACCAAGGAAATTTAATAAATGTTCCTTGTTTTTGAAAGTTTACCATGATCAATAATAAAAAGGATAATTGTGATAAAATAAATATAATGCTATCCCAGGTAGAACATAAAACTCATAATGACATCATTATGACATCACTTAAAAGTCATTTTAGAAAAGTCATAATGATCTCATCCCAGACAGCACATAATATTAAAAGATGACGAAAAGAAATCTTTTTTGAGTCATCTTTTGGACAAAGCGAAAAGAAGTCTACACAGACATCTTTTCGTCTTTCCGTAAAAGACAACATTAAAAAGATATCTTTTCGTTATCTTTTTTTTGTCAATTTTTTCGGCAAAGCGAAAAACGAAATCTTGTTTCAGTAATCTTTTGGACAAAGCGAAAAGATGTGTGTATAGATATCTTTTCGTCTTGCCCAAATGACAACATAAGAAAGAGATCTTTTCGTAATCATTTTTATGCGCTGGCGCTGTGGCGCTAGCTGCATCTGATCTCTTTGTTCCCAGATCTGCGAGCTGCGAGGAAAGAGCGAGTTGGAGCGAGTGAAAATCTGTTTTAATCTAAGTTAAAATCCTATCTTTAGTTATGAATTAATGCAAAATATTAAATTATACATTGGGAGGGGATGAAGATGGTGAGGAGGAAAGACGTACAGTGCGAGGGTGGAGTGAAAAAGGGAGTGAAAGGAAAGGTTGGAGAGGAGTGAACAGGAGGAAGAGGAGATGATGGAAAGAGGAGATGGAGAAGTGGTAGTGGAAATGGAGGAGTGAAAAAATAGTGAAGAATAGGAGAGAAACAGGAGTGGAAAGGAAGATGAGTTGGCAGTCTGGAGCGAAGAGGACCGAAATGGTGCCCAGTGAGAAATGATTCGTCGATCGACGTCGAAATGATGTGAATCATTTCTCACTGGGTGGGGGAGAACGGAGGAGATCGAGAAATCGATACAGAGGAGGAAGAGGATTCGTCAGGAGGTTTCCACAGACGGGAGCGAATGGGATCGGTTGGAGAGGTCGAGAGATCGAAAGCCGAAGCAAGAGGAGACAGAAGAGAGAGAGTGGATCGAGGCGAAGGAGGGAAGAAGAAGGAGAGGAGTGGTGAGGCAAGAGGAAAGAGACGTGGCAGGAGAGAGAGGAGGAGAGGAGGACACGGGGAGGAGACGAAGAGGAAGGGGAGGACGGTGAGCGACGTAACAAAGGGGTAGGTGGAGGACGAGGGAGGTGGAGAAAAGAAGGAAAGGGGAGTGGAGGGACGAAGGCAGAGGAGGCAGGAGAGGACGTGGAGAAGAAGAGCGGAGAGGAGGGGAGAGAGAGGTGATAGTGAAAGAGTGGAGAGAAGGGAAGGGCGAGGAGAGAGGAGGAAGCGAGACCGACCGGAAGGCGGGAAGAGGGAAGTAGAGGAAAGAAGGGAGGAGAAGGAGGAGGCGGAAGAAGGGAGAAAGACCATAGGGTGAAGGAGAGAAGGAAGAGAGAAGGAAGAGGGAGAAGGAGAAAGAAAGGGAGGTGAAAAGAAGAAAGGGAGAGAGGAAAAGAGAAGACAAGGAGACGGGACACCGGAGATAATGGAAGAATGGAGAGAGGAATTGAGAGAGATAAGAGAAGAGCTGAAGTGGCAAATGAGGAGAATAGAGGAAGAACTGAGAGGCATAAGGGAAAGGCTGGAAAGGAAAGAGGAGAGAGAGATGAAGAAGAGGGAAAAAGAGAAAGAGGAAGAAGAGAAGTGGAGGATGGAGAGAAGGAGAAGGCGAAGTAGAGAGAGCAAAGAAAGGTTGGGGGACAGAGGGATAAAAGAGGTGAAGAAGGAGGAGAAGAAAAGGCAGAAAGGAAGGAGAGAAGCGGAAAGAAAGGAGCATAGGAGTGGAGAGAGCGATAAATCGGAGAGGGATACGGAAGAGGAGCAGAGTGAGAGGAGAGGAAAAGGAAAACTGGGAGATGAGACGGAGAGAAAAGGGGAGAGGAGAGAAGGTACAGAGAGGAAAGAGGGAAGAAGAGACAGAGGGATGGGAGGGGAAAAGGAGAGGGAGAGAGGAGTGGTGAGATGTATGAGTAGTGAAGAAAAGGAAGAACCGGAGGAGAGAGGGAGGAGAGAGGAGTGGAGGAGACAGAGGCCGAGGGAGGAGAGAGATGGGGAGGATAGAAGGAGGAGAAGAATGATTTGGAGGGGGGTAGAGGGTAAGGATAGGGAAGAGAGAAAATGGAAAATTAAAAAAACGGCGAAGGAAGTATTAGGGAGGGCACTAGAACTAGAGGAGATTGTGGAGAGATTGGGGGAAGGGGGGAAGGTGGTAATGACAGTAGAAATATTGAAAGAGAAGGATAGAGATAGGTGTTGGAAAGAATGAATTGGTTAAGGGAGAAGTGGGGGATGAGGGTGGACGAGGATTTAAGTATGGAGGAAAGGAGGATAAGGTGGAGAATGATAGAAAGGGCAAGGGTAGAGAGGGAAAAAGGAAGGGAGGTAAGAGAGGAGAATATAAGGATATGGGTGGATGGGAGGGAATGGAGATGGATAGGAGGAGAAGAGGGAAGGGGAGAAGAGTGAAGAAAGTTAGAGAATTGTTTAATTACAGGAAGGAAGGAGAGGATGAGAAGAAAAACAAGGGAGAGGAGAGGAAGAGAGAGAGAAGAGTAGAATGGAAGAAAGGAGAAAAAAGGAGGATAAGGAGAAGAAAAGCAGGAAGACGGAAGAAAGGGGAGGAGCAAAGGAGAGGTGGAGGACAGAAGAGGGACGAGAAGGAAAGGGGGAGAGAAGGAGAGGAGGAAAGGGATAGAGGCGGGGTAGGAGGGAATGGAATAAGAAAGGCGAGGACGTAGGGAGGGGGGGAGAATGTAATGGTCGCTAAGAGCCAGGTCGCG